TTTATTAATTACTATTAAATTAAACAATTAGTGAACTAACGTCTCATAGGTAGAGTTCAGTTTTATTTCGAATCTTCCTTTGAAAGTTAACAGTATCAAGCGGAATCGTTCGAAACGCTAGATACAGTAGACGGGGTAATCCAATACTAGTCGACAGAAAAAAGAAAGACAAGGCGGAAAAGGTATTTCAATAACCAAGCAAACAAATCGAAAGAAACGTCGTGTCTGTGTACGAACGAGTGTTGCGGGGACACAAAGGTATGGAACGGCGCGATGGGAATAGAGGCGGTAATAGTAGTCGAGGTCGGTGTTTAGTCGTACCGAAAAGAGACAGAGGCCGCACGATGCGATGGTACGGAACGTGTGTACGACCGTGGCGTCCGTGAGGGTTGGAAACGTGCGCAGAATGTGTCGTGCCCGCCGCAAAATGCTCTGTCACGCAACTGTGTTGCACGCTGGGTCGCACACAAGATACCGCGCGGCCACGATACACATCCACCCGTAGATTTATCCGCACAGACTGGGTGTACGTACACGTGCACGTGTATCCTTGGCGAAGGTGTGTAGCAACCCGTACCGTCCGCAGCCGCCCCGTACCGACGCGCCGGTAGCCGTGGCTATCTGCTCGCCATGGGCAACGCTTCGCGTGATCTCCTGAGACCGTGCACCCCTTTTCAACCTTCGGTTTTCCGCGCGCCGTCCAACGGCCCGTGCGCCAACGTCAGATAAACCGCTTATTTTATTCATAAACCCACAACGTGAAATCAATATTGCATTGCGCGCTCCGTACAGAGAGACGCGGAAACGTGTGCGAGGACGAAGAGAGAGAGACGACGAGGGGACTCGGCGGGAGCGCGAGAGGGAGAAGTATCTGCAATATGGTCTCACTGGCGAGGATCAGAGAATGCGGGCGATGGACGTTTAACTCAACCCTGTCTCCCTTCGTCTCCAAACCTACCACCCACGCCACGCATAGACCTCGGCGCGCCACCCCATCCCTCTCCCTCATCATACCTAACGTGCTGGAATGTGGGATGAAATTAGTCCTTAGCCCCCGCCTGATGCGGTGGAACGCGATGTCCGTCCTGTGACGGGATGTCCACGGCCCCAGACGATGGTATTCCAGTATGTGCCGAAGTGCAGAAACGCGTCTTCCGCGCGATATAAACGTCATCGCGTTGCGAGGGGGCTGCTTTGACAGGATACTGTGCCCGCGTCACGGCTGGCTCGACCTTGCCACAGACACGCGTTGACACGCGCCGATTATAGTATCCCCGCCACCCTCTACCTGCTTTCCACGTTGCGACAGACACGCGACGTTGAAAAATTGTACGGGGATCCGCCCCAGAAATTCTATACGTCAGAAATATGTCGCGTTACCACACACGTCGCTTTTTGATCGTTCCACTTGGGGGATTGAATGTGTGACCGAGAAATGGAAATTGTCGAACGATCGTAAAACTTCCCGTCCGTGTCGTTACTGCGAGAAGTTCGGCCAACTTGAAAGTTCTTTAAGAAGTGACGTTCACGTTTCTAATGAAGTAATTTAGTGGTTCTTAATCGGTGTTCCGTGAATTTAATAAAAGTGTTCCGCCGAAATTTGAAAATCAATCAAAAAGTAGATCAGTTATTAAAACGTTAATAGAATGAAAAGTCAACGTCATTTTTGTGAAAGGATTTATTACTTTTGCAAAGAAGAAACATGCGAATATATCTGCACGCTGTTTTTAACTAAAAAAAAATCATATGTCTCAAGAACATTATCTATGATTGTAAAATTGCAAGTATTTGGTAAATCTAAATATAGCAAGAAGAAAAGTGGCGAAAGTTAAGAATCACTGATCTAACATAAATTGACTAGTATTTGTAAAGAAACTCGAAGGTCAGACCGAAATGCTGGATTGCCGTGGCCTTTAACCGACGTTTCTATGCTTGCAGACAATACAGGGTAACACGAATACGTATTTGGAGTCCAAGCACGAGCTGGATCCGCCTGTGTGGGCGAGCAAGATCCGTTTTCTGCCCTACAGCCATCACACGCGGACGGTTTGCATGCGGGTCGAGCTCTACGGATGTTACTGGAGCGGTAAGCTGTTTGCACTCGACAATTTTCGTTCAACTTGCCGCGCCGCATCGCTTAGAATACTCGCCGGACTGTCCATTAACCCTTATGCCGTTACCGTGTGCGCAAATTTGCTTTTCACAATCTTGCTTGTACAATTATCCCTTTCTTCCTTTGATGAATCAACATCGAATTAAACGTTTAACCAAACGGAAATGTACACAACGAGCAATGTTATATTGCTGTTGCGGCTTGCTATTGCGCGTTCCCAATGCGTGCATGTTCAATTAATTGCGAATACAGTGCCTTCGGGCATTACGCATGAACCGTACGCAGGTTGACTAATATTTTTCCACGTCGATGAATTTATATTGTTCTTCGCGAGACAACGTTTTCTTTTAATTAGTACTTAGTGAATCCATAAATATTCGAACTCGTTTCAAAGATGAATAACGTGTTTAATAGTGGCCTTAACGAAATCATTTTCTTTTAAGTGTTAGAGGCTTTTCATGTTATACCGATTTTGCCGTTCAATTGAAAATTTTATATCGCAAATATTACATTTTTATTAGAAGGTCAAATAGAAAATTTGAAAATCCCTTTACTTTTTTCATCGACACATAGCAATTTTCTTTAATTTTCTATCATACATCGTATAGTAAACTAATTTCCCTAACGCTTAAAAACGAATGAATTCCTTAAGGATGTATTGGTTATACAGTCAATCCCAAAAGTTTATGCACTTTAGAAACGCATTTTTTAAAAAGAGATCAGACGTCGGAAGAACATTGNAACATCAATAAAATGCCAAATAATCATACTTAACTCATTAAATATCGAAATTAGAAGAAGAATGCACTATTTTTAATTATAGGGAATGCGTTTTTCTAAAGTACATAAACTTTTGGGATTGACTGTATAGTCAATACATCCTCAAGTCCAATATTGAAAAAGTTACTCAACTTCGAATCGTGTACGAGTATTTATGGCCTTCACGTTAAAAGAACATTCTCATTGAAACATTCATTGCAACTTTTCATAAAAATCATAATTTTCAGCTTCTCAATCTCTCGATCTCTTAAGATTCATTAACTGTGCCCACGCAAAGTTTGAAAATTAACATCATATCTACACGCACCATATTTTACCCGGTGTAACGTTCCACGTTATTAATCTTTGTCGCTTCTTTTCTTTATCGAACGACGTGCCCCGTGCCATGTCCCCATGCAATCGTAACAATGTCCCTCGACAAAGACCGTAGCTTTTACACGAGTCATTAAAAGATAGACCGCCCTACGGTGACTTTACACCTTGACCTCCTCGTCGCAGACGGCGTGGTGTCCTACTCGATGCCCCAGGGCGATAAAAGGGGTAATGGATGGGATTTCTTCGACACCATCTACGACGGACACTGGGACGGCGAACTCCGGCGCGGCCTGGGCCTGCTGACGGACGGCAAAACTGGCCCCGATAACTTCAAACTGGGATACTACGATAACGATCGCACCCAGGGCTGGGTCGGCTGGCGGAACGATACACGTGGACAACCGGTCGAGATCAAGTTCGAATTCGACAAGGTCAGAGAGTTCTCCGTCGTCCACATCTACTGCAACAATCAGTTCACCAAAGGTGTCCAGGTGGGTGTCCAAACGATCCTTAATTACCGATTTAGGTTAACGCTCGAATCGAATATTCTACGACTTTTAAACAGGGCTCGAGAGGATTAACTTTTATGGGGAAGTGTTCTCACATTGTAAAATCAGATGAGAACAGATAAGGAAATGTCCCTAAAAATAAAATAGTTCGAGTAGAAGAATTTATAAAAAAGAATATCAGACTTTATATTTCTATTTTAGGGGGCTAGATAGGCAGAGTAAAAAACGTCAAAGTTTTACCAAGACATGTTAGAAAATTTACGTGACTATCCTAGCTCGTTAAGCAGATTTTTTGCAAACAGAATTTTTTTAAAAACGAAGACAATTTTTTATTTCGCTGCCTGATTCAAAAGGGATGATTTAACTCTGATCGAATCTCGAACGAAATTCGAATCGTAAAAACGTCAGTAAATATTCTACAACTTCGAAACTTCGCGTTTCGGATCGGTGTCCAAAACGATCATCGGATATTTAATTAAGTTCAGTTATTTTAACGCATCCGTTTGGATTTAACGCGACCCGGGGAAAAGGATCAAACGTTTAACCCGTGACGTGAAACGAAATCTTCTACGAAGATCGTGAAATCGTTCGAAAACATCGGTACGAGGTTTGAATTCGAAAACGGGGTCAAAATAAAATTCCACGAGCACGTATATAAATCGTAGCAGTGAAATAAAGATAGAGGGGGAATTAAGAGGAAACAGGTTTCGGGCGTAATTACGTATCTACGCCTCCTACCGCCGGTGTAAATACACGGACAGGGTTTGGAATCGTTTACCCTCGCTTAGGCGACGTTATTCCCAACAGCCCCTGTAAGGAATGCGCAAGCAGCGTCGATCAACAGGCTTACCATCCGCTAGTTGTTCGAGATCCTTTTACCGTCACCTCCTTCTGGCTTTCTGGTCTTCCTCCTCGGGTATCCTCCCACGGTTGATTGAATATTCCGCTCGTCGCTTTATCAGTCAGACGCCGGCTGAATATAAATACAATCTGAAACGGTAATTCCGTCGGCGGAGGGTGGAGGTGGCCCGATATCACGGGAGCGTGGCTTATTGGCCAGATCGCGCGATATTGCTTAAAAGGCAGGAATAATCGCGACACGTGATCTCTGTTATTAAAGAGCGTACCGGGCGACTTTACTTTCATCATCGACGATCTAGCTTTCATTAGCATATGCTTTTAACCCGGACACATTTACGATCCTACGAATATTCCCTTTCCGCTTTCAAAAGTTGATATCACGCGATTTCCACTTTTCCTTTCAGAGATTGAATGTACAGTGGCTACAGAAAGTATTCAGACAGCTTTTAGGTTGTCTTAGTATTCGATCAAACAAATTAATTATCTATGGGATGGTAGAAGACTTATTATTATTATTATTATTATTATTATTATTATTATTATTATTATTATTATTGAAGCTTAACAAAGTTGAATAATGAAATTAAATGAGGTTCTTTAATCCTTATTGATTGCTTAACGAAGTTCAGTAATAAAATTAAATGAGGCCCTTATAACAGTTTTATTACGTCCGTTAATTATGGAATTTCACAGAGGTCATATTGAATTTAGTACACTCCGTCTCACAGATATTCCTCCTAACGAGATAAATAGACAATAGGATTTGTAGATATTCGTTTTCGAAGTTTTTCCAATAAAAAAGTTAAAAGTCGACGTTCACGTCTTTTTTTTAGCAATTTCTACTGATAAAAATTTTTACCAAATTCGTTTTACACATTACATATAAAATTAAGTCTTCTAGCAATCCACAAAAAATTACGTTGTTTGGTCGATATTGAAAGGAGTCCGAATACATTTTGGAGCCATTGAGCCATTAATTTCTGTATCCAGTTCTTCTCCGTAAATTGCAAACAAAAGTAATAACATCCGTATGTAACGATGTATGGAACATTTCATTATCGTTCATAATTATACAAAGATTTGACATTTTATTAATTACAGCTGAATAAATGGAGCGTACGATTGTTAGCATAAATAATTAATTTTAAGGTACGCCGATTGTTGCATATTTTAAAACTGAATAATTTAAGCATCCTCTATCGAATTTCGAGATTATTCGAATAATTATAAGCAACTGTTCATGTGTGTATAACACAAAGAGGTTTCAGCCGATGTTATTCTCAAAAGAATTTATTATAAAGGATCATCGTTAAAAAGCAAAATAATTACGCGTGTGCCAATAATTCTCTCTCGCTTTAAAATGCCATGCATTCGAGAGGAGCAGGTGGAAAGTTTGATTTTAATTCGCTTCGTTAATTGGAAAAATACGTCGGACATTGAAACGACAATGCAATGCGTTTATACTGTGCGGTTCCTTCTATTTAATTTTTTTTATGGAAGTTAGCGTAAATTTTATGTATGCATGCAGAACGGGAATCGTATAGAAAAGTCAGAGTGTGCAGATCATTTGTTACTACGAGTGGCGACCGACCGGAAATGAGTTCGCGAGCTCGCGTTATTCGGGCATTCTTCGTCCCGCCGCTAGGCCAATAATTCGATCCCTGGTATAATTTCCGTTTCGCAGCGATTTCGCGACCCTTCCGCGCATTAACTTCTATAATGTAATGCAAATACGTCCCTCTCTTCCTTCGCTCTCCACCCTTTGTCAGCCTATCTCGCAGATATCTTCCTCTCGTATTATTAAACACGTTAATATAACTCATAAATCAGATTGGAGAAACAGAACTTAGATGTTAATTCATTTGATTTTATAGAAAGAGAAGTGTTCTTATTTTTATTATAAAATCGTTTGTTCAACAATTTTCTTGGTCTCTGGGGTAAACTCGTATAATACTCTGGGGGTAAACTCTGGGGTAACCCCTTCTTGTTCGAGATTACTGCTTATAATCTACCATACATTTTGTATCACATTTGAATGGATAATATTACACTCTTCATTATTTAGTGGTTGCATATTTTATATTCCTCTAGACTGTACATTTTCACCCTTTCCATCACATTCTTTACTTTTAATGTTACTCATTGTTGTTGTATTTCTTATATCTACTTACTCCGAACTTTATTTCTATTTTCATGATAACTCATCAAAAATATATTTCTATATATCTGTCTTTTTTTAACATTCTAAATATATTATATGACAATATAAAATCTGACAAATATATACATTTCGGTTTTTCTTACTCTCATCCATCCATGGTTATGGTCCTATCTATATGTATACTTAAAAAAAAATCATTATTAAAGCGTAGACTCAAAGAATTTGTAGAAAAACTGTGTCTGGCAGGACATGAGAAATATAACATTCATCAAAACTAAAAGCAGAAATCAAATTTTTAGAAACCAAAGCAAATTCCTATCTGGATTTTATTTCCTAAATTGACTTCACAAATATTTCATTTCGTAAAAATGTGGAATCCAATAGAAACAGAATTTTTATACAAATATAATTAAATGCAAACAATTCACGGGATCAGTGAAGTGACTTTTTTTCTATGATATTTTTCCTATGGTAATGATTAAAGAAAATAGGCAATGGTTATAACGGAAATACTTGAAACGGCAATACCACGGCTGGCAGGATGCGTTTTGGGATGCTCGAAGGCAAATCCGCTTTACACTCGCGAGTGTTTTGCTCGGGCGGCGTGGGGCATTTAAAGATTTGGCGGTGCGTGCGGTGAAATATGCATGGACGATTATCGAACAGTACCGTAAATGGGGAGTGCCCGAATTTTGATTCGGATAAAAGCGTGCGAGTATTGCGCCCGTTTCAAAGGCAGAAGATCGGACCAGGTTCGAGGCGGTTGCGTCGTACAATTTTCAGTCGATGAGGCCGAATCCCGTGTAATATTAATCAACGATATTCTCGTTGATCAAAAAATCATTTTCGTTAATTGTCTCCCGTGATTATTCCTCGATAATACAGCAGCGTCCGACGCGAGCGTATTTCGTTGACGAACAATTCGAAAGTTTCATGCATCACTGATGACATTTTCTACGAATAAATAAAACCGTTTAATTGAAACGTTCGACCTATACCGAAAAATGGGACAAAAGTGTATTTCCCGTATCAATAATTTCACGTGCTACCGCGCCAGGAGGCCGTCGATATTTTATTCTGTGCCTAGAGGGAAAGGAGGAAAAATCATCGGTACGTTCCGGCGTACTCGCGCGCAGCATTTTTCGAGGCAATTAATGCCGAGCGAACCGGGAATAAAAAAGAATCGCAGGCGTGCAGAAAAACGCGTTCCCCGCGGAACGCAAACAGGCGCACTGGCCAAAAACCGCGTTTGCGTTTCGATTCCATGCGGTAGCAGTGATCGCGAACAACGGGTCTTTCCCTAAACGACCGCACCAGGTTTTTTTGGTTAATTCTGAGCACCTAAACGAACCCGATCGATGGATCGAAAAATCGAAAAATTCTAAAACAGTAGAAAATTAGATACATTAACAATACAAGTTGTTTTGATGTCCGACGTAGATTTGGAGAAAGTATCTGCCTTGGAATGATAAAAATTAGCATGAATGATCATTCGACTGATCGTATTGTAATAACTAGACTACGTGTTTTATTATATTATACTTTTAGAGTATTAGCGTTATGAAAAAATTCGAAAGTTCTGTAAATAAGGCCCATAAGTTTATAAGAAGAAGAAATAATAAAGTTATAACAATCATTAAAGCTAATATCAATCGAGAAGGTCAAAGGTCTCGAATATTGCAGTTGCTAAAGTTATCGTTGCGATGTGCAAGCTCGCGCACCGCAAGAGAGCGAAGAAGATGGAATATTAAACACAGAGAGGCCAGAAGCACGTTGACAAGCGCGCGACAAACTATAAACGTGCGGCACGCTCTTTGACGCGGCAGCCCTCCGAAACCACTGCGCCGGTGCTCTCTTCGTCGTCGAGCTTCGAAACAGAAGCACTCGAATAACCGATCGTCCTCCAGATTCCCTTCCGCGTCGCCAGGTTTTATATACAGAGTGACCCCGCGCGCTACCGTGGAGCTTCGCAAGCTCATAAACCGGAACCCCTCGCACAATGGCTCTGTCGGGACTTCGCCCGTGGCGCATCTTTGATATCCAAATAACATTTTCCCCTTCGACGGAAGCAGCCAGCGAAACGTGCCAGCTACGGGCGATAATAGACTGCGATACGAAACTCTGCCTCCTCTGTCTCCTCTACGCGTGAAAACGGCTCCGTTTCACTACGAAAGGGGCGGATAAAAAGGAAACGATGCCGCCTTGAGAGGCACCAAATTAGCTGCGAACAGCGCGCAAACTTTGTAATTACTGACGGACTCTTTCTGGACACCGTATACGTACTTCGGAGCGGATACATCCTTTTTCATGAAGCGCTAAATAATTTTATTCCCTCCCCGATTACGACTTAACGTTCTTACGTTAGTCCTGCTTATTGCATACGAAGTGAAACATCCAGGCGTATAAAGGATCATGAAATCTCAAGCGAGAGTAACGAGATCACTTTGGTATTTTCCTGTACACGCGGAATATTGGACGTAGCAATTTAATAAACGTAACGACCGAGAACGTCTGCGAAGTCAATTTACTTATCCGGCTGAGTCTTATGGAAAAGGGACGACGACCGGCAAACTTCCTGTCGTTTGATAAGATCTTTCACTGACGGCGTGCAAATACCTCTCCTTGGTCGCGTAAGGGCCGAAACCCGGCCGTTCCATCGTTACTCGTCAAAGTGCATAAATTTCCATGATTGCATCGCCTCAATCTCCTCCCACCTCCCGTTCCCGATGCACCAGTCCTCCGTGTCAATTTTATTTACGAATGCTCTTTCCTACGGACTCCATTTCAATCTCGCCCTGTGTAGGCGTGTTTCCTTTGACGGACTCCAACGCGCGGCTTGTAATGCATAAGTCTCGAGCTACTAATGGCCGAAATGAGACGGGTACTCGGATTAAGCCTAACTGCGTACAGGGTGTCCCAGTATTGATGGTACAACCGTGAAGAGGGTAATTGTACCTGAGAAAGTAAGTGAATAATCTAGAAAATTTATCCAACTGGTTGCGTACTCGGAGCGAGAAAATCGATTTTCTCAAAGACAAAGTTTAAAATGAAGAACAGAGTAATTCATATTTTCGACTTATGTTCTCATGTACAATCACTCCATTATACGATCGATACTAGGACACATTGTACATTCCAAATTGCTGCCTCTCATCATTTTTTAAAGCGACCATCACGGTTCTTGTTAAAACGTAATTGGGACAGTGGACTGTTTCGTCTATCGAACTGTAAATTGTGTACAGACGACAGATTGAGGAATCGTGAAAGTACCGATAAATCGATACGAGCGGGAAACAACGGTATAGACGATGCGAAAATAAAACCGGTGAATGGGTTTGGAGGAAAGCATTTTAAAACGTTTACACACACGGTGCGCGCGGCGGCGGCGGCGGCGGCGGCGGTGGCGGTGGAATGAAATAATGTTGCTCTTTGAGCGTAAGTCTCTGTTTGCGCGAACACTGCAGATACGTTTCAGCGAAAACCATTTCCCGTAGCCGAGGGAAAAAAAGGCTCGCCAAGCCGAGCCGAGCCGGGCCAGGCTTCTCCATTTCTCTCCGTTGAACCGTACTGGAAAAAAGGGATTTACTTCCAGATCAGTTATTGCGCTTCATCCGGTATATTATATCGGATAAGCCGCGCGGCTTCCGTCTCTCTGCATCCGACTCTTGCCCCGTGTACGGCGCACGCACACACGTTAGCCTTTTCTACGCTTGTCTCGCCGAGTTTCGATTGAATACACGACATACGACCCGGTGTCGACGGACCTTCTCGTCCACAAAGAGAAAGGGGGTGAAGTAAACGAGTTTTATGACGATCCCTCCGCCTCCGACAAAGAAACACGGCAAAGCGACGGATACGGAACATCGATATCGATGGCGGCGGCGAGATAAATGCCTCGCTCGCTTTCTATCTTTCCCTCTGTGTCCCATCGACAGGATATCGTTTCCGGCTCCCATCGGGCCTGAAACGAATCTTTCGTAATTGGATTTACATGACGAGAATTACGATAACGAAATCTTCGGAAGCCGATTCAACGTCGGATCCGATCCAGATGTTGCCCCGCGGTTGTGACAATCGCGTTATCGACTTTCGGCTTGTACGCCGCAACCTCGTTCGAGGGAAGTTTTCCTTCTGCTGATAATTCTATGGCCTGTGAATGTGTCGAGCTTCAGATATGAATCCTTGCCGCGATTCAAATCTCTTTGCTCTTCATTTAAAATTTCACTTAACACGGTTTCTATAAATTGTATATTATTTAATAATTCTGTATCTAATATCGAAATATAGATCGATGTCATAAAGTACAAGTGGAAGTTTGACTAATTTTGATTTACATCACTTCCATAATGATTAGTACAACTATTATTGAACAGTTCTTGTCGAAATGGAAATTTCTCTGCTTTTTATTTAAAATTCCATTATTTTTGGTCAATTTTGGATGGATAGCATTGACAGTCTACCTTATCGCGTAGCTATCGAAGTCTACCCCCTTAAATGGCGATAGTATTGACTGGTCGTGTAGCAACAATTATAAGTCTGCGTATTGATTGACAATTTTGTTTCATCGTGAAATTAACTAAATTTCCAATTAACGCGCGTTCGTCTCCCGGGTCTGCCCGCGATGCGATTCGCGTTATTATCCACTTTTGATTTTTATCACTCGGCCTCGCGTAGGAATTCAATTTGTTCTCTTCCGATCGACAGTTTTTGCCCGACGTTTTTTGTCAAAACGAAATTCGATGGCTGCTGCAGATTTTATTCCGTCCGATAGCCTCAATTTTCATCTTCCATGTTTTTACGCGCGCTTTTATTATACTAGTGGAAAAAGAGGGAAACGGGGTAGCAAGGGGCGTATGGATCGTAAAATGCTCAAGCTCAAGATTATATGGACACATCCTCGATACACTAAGTAAAACCGTCGACCTCGGATAATATCCCTGATTTATGATCAGACCCGTACCCTATCGAACTTCAGGGACGCATTAAACTTTTATAACGTCCTCAAAAGTCCTACGTACCTACGACTTTCCTTTCTCCATATCGACTCTCTCACCTCTCGCGTCGATCGTATTTTACTTTCTTCCTAAATCTTCACCGTCGAGAAGGAGAGAGCTCCTCGCGTCGACTCTATCCATCAACGTCCTACTTCGTCTACGTCTGTTTTATTTTGTCTACATATACGCTGGCTTATTTAGGTTTCCGATCTGTTTTAAGGTTATCGCAATCAATCTCCCCCGAAGTTGCCGTCACTCTGATAAAAATGGATCTTTGCCTTAGCTGCTCTTCTAATATGCAGAATCTTTGTTTCCCAACTTCCATCTCTCAGAGGAACTTTCCAGTCAGATGGAAAAATGTATCACGCTCAATTTTCGTTAAATCAGAAATCGTCTGTTGCCTGAATATGAGAATAAACGAAAGTTTCTCTTTAGATCTAGAATACATTTCACTATCCCTCATTTTCTTATGACATTCATTATATATATATTTTCATATATATATTTTCATTCATTATATATATATATATTTTATATATATATTTTATTTTTTCCAACATACATAAATAAACGCCTTCTCTTTATATAATAACAAGATAAATGGTATTTTATTTTCCAGATATTTTCTCAAGTCGACATACTATTCAGCATCGGCGGCAAGTTCTACACTGGTGAACCAATCACGTACACTTATATGGAGGACAAGATCTTCGAGTCCTCACGAAACATCACTATCAAGCTGCACCATCGAGTAGGCAAGTACGTGAAGCTGAGGCTCCACTTCTCAGACAAGTGGATCATGATCAGTGAGGTGACGTTCGACTCTGGTAAGTGGAAACTCGTTTTTCCTATTGTCTGCCAATATTTCCAGGCACCTACACACCCTCGTTCACAAGTTTTACCACAATTGTTTATTGTCTATCGAAAAAGTCTGACGAATACTTCAAATTAATCATCAAAGACCATTACAAATGAAAAATTACAATAAATTATGTAATAAATCATCTGATAACAATTCATACAATAAATTATAAATAATTTTAATAAAATTGTACTCCGAGTGAAAGAGAAAATGTAATAATAATTTGAAAAGCTTTTTTACATGTCAAAATAAAAGGAAGCTGATACAGACTGTAAATCAGAATTTCATTCATAATTACTGACATAAATAATTTTAAAGAGAATTCGCTCTGATTATTTATTAAAATATTACAAATTTTCGAGTGTTCGTTCATATTCTTGTATCACGTCATTCTGTTGCACGTATTACGATATGTTCTAAGACTTATGGACGGGGGTGTACCTCTCCGCGCCACACGATGTATCGTTCAATCTCTTCATCGAACCATTCTGAAGTGTCGAACGATGAAACGAGGCTACGTACCTTCGTTCCCAGTTGCGAAAACAATAGCCGTAGGGGGGAAAAAGTTCTGTCAGCGTGTCGCGCAGCCGACCGTGGAAACTTAGAACGAAATTTTCTGCTCGTGACGCAAAATCGTTTTGCGACGCGCAGACTTTTGCCGGTGAACGACACGCGTGTCCCCGTACTTTATTTATTTTTGTAATCCCGCACGTTTCCGAATTGACGCGATCCTCGTCCCACAGTTTCTGAGCCTCTACCCAGCCAGCCAGTTTTTCAGACATCGGATATATGTACACATCAAACCATCCAACTACCGTCAATCAATCATTGCGAAGCGAACCCCGTATGTATAAACTGATACACGGTAATTGACAAGCGCTTATTATATATCTGTCAGTCGGACGATTTCGATTAGTCGTACACAATAGTTCACGAACAAAAAGGAAGGAACGAAAATAACAGATGGATGAATTCAACGGAGGGGTGAATCGCAAATCGAGCCTTGCTCCACAGCCACTGCTTGTTTTATTATCCATTTTTTTCTATATTTTTCTGCCACGCGAATGGAAACCAAGCTTCGACTTCGATTTACACTTCCACTCTGAAATCTTGACTTCGTGCTGTCAAAATATTTGATGAAAAAGATTTTACAGCTCATACAACCTTAATTTCTTTTTATATATTTGAAGACCTAGTTTTTTAAATAAGGTATGTGAAAGAAATTAAACAAAATTGCTGTTACTCTGTAGAGAAAAGATTTTCATTTGGGTCACTAATGAAAATGTGAAACATGCTTTTTGCAGACCTAAATAAGTAATATGTACAAAGTTTAATCGATATCGCCTAACGTTGCTACAAATGATTAAAAATCGAGAATGGACGAGGAGAATCACAGGTTTTGATTATTTTCGGCCTATAACTGGAATGAATCGAAAGATTTGACGTATTTCAATGCTTGAAGCGTATCCAAGTTATTAATCGGGGTCACCTTTTAAAACAATCTCCTGCCTAAGACCACATGAAAGCTTCCAATCGCAAAATAATTTCAATTGGGAAGCTGTTTGATTCTGAAATACTTTTACAACGTCGTAAGCTTTGATAAACGGTTACAAAACTTGTAAACTCGATCCAGCGAATAGGTTCCGTTCGATTTAACGCGCGTTCGATGGGAACCGTTCTGCGAGTCGGGTTTAGCCGTATTTACGCAAGATTCTGCATCGTTCCTGAATAAAGAGGATTTATAATAGAAACGCGACATCCGAGGATTGTTGAAAAAGAAACAAGCGATGGAAACTCACCCGATCCGCCGTATCGACGCTAATACGTTCCTCCCGGGGAACGTCTGTGTTTCCTTAAATAACGTTTTCCTTCGACGAACCCCTTCCGCCGTGGAAACAACTTTAAATAGTCTTCGCTCGCATTGTTCGTATCCTTGAATGGGCTTTCATTTCGTTTCGTTTCGCCACTCGAATTAGTTCATTTTTCCGAGCGATTAAATCGAGGAACCGGCCCAGGTTCGACGCAGTCACGGGAAAGGAAATCCAATTAATTCGAAGATGATGTACAAACCGGCGGAGAAAAACAAGAACAAGAAAAAAAGGATAAGGGTGGGGACGGTAGGAGTAGGAGCAACGGAGGAAACGGGGAATGGTTGGGTGGGGAAGAGGAGGGAGAGAGAAGGGATTAAAACAAGCTTTGGCGTGTTCGGTGGAAAAGGCACCGAACAACAAGAATGAAACGCGCCAGAACTCTCCTCGTTTCCAGCGAGCGACTACGGCTCTGTGAAGAAAAATTCTTTGTTAACCGTAGCGGGAGGGATTAAACGCAACGATGCTCGAGTCACCGAACAATTGAACAGGAGAGAGAGCCCGCGGTCCCCTCCTCCCCGTATAAACCGTGTCACGAAACTCGACTTCCGTGCTTTATCATTTAACCCGAGAGCGCTTCTAAATAGGCATCAAAGACGCATCTCGTGCGGAAGAATCGATGAATAAAAACAGAGAAACGGAGACAAACGCTGAACCGCGCTGGCCTTCGTGGAATCGCGCGCGAAACGATCGCCTCGGACGCACGAGCGCCCGTTTTCTTTTTTAATTAAATGTATGGAACGGGTAAATCAAAGACGACGCGTCGTCAGTCGCGGCAAACGGCTTAGCGTTATGCATATACGCCGGGTATTCGTTACACAAAGGACCCTTTGTCAGCGAGATTTGCCCACCTAACAACAGGTTCATAAAGTGGGCACGGAACTCTTCCAGACTCCGTTCCGCCGTTCGCTGTTTTTCCGTCTCAAAGGATGTACATGGAACTGTATGGCAGACAATTTTACCGGTGAGCAAATACCGGCTGCCTGGAAAATATGGAAGACGTACCTGGGTGTAGAATCTTTGAACAGATGGGCTGCGGTAAAGCTGCGCCTACGCTACGTGACAAGACGTTGTTATAAAAGTAATCAAAATACGTTGTTTAAATTATCGTTATAACCGTCGGATAGAAAGGTTGAAAAACGTGACCTTCACATTTTTCCTTACCTTTTTACTTAATTTCAATTTTTTCGCAATCTATTATACAAGTAATTTAGTAAACTAATCCTCTTGACTACTAAAAAAAACTCAGGTTGTTTGGTCCAATTTTACAAAAGTTATTCAATTTTAAATAGCGTGTGTTCAGTTTTGCTCTTAACTGTATGTATGTAGATTTTCATTCGAGGCTATTCAAATGAAGAGCACTGTATTTCTGTAACTTATTACAATAATTTATTCACTTGCCTATCTACAGTATATTACAACAAAATGTAAAGTCACTATCGGTCTATCTTTTAATAGTATTGCATTTCGAAATGATATGTATTTTTTCTACTCATTTTATATCCAATTTTATTCATTAAGTATTCAAAATCGGATCTTTTGTTTGAAGTTTAAAACTTCCATCAACTCGAAATTCACTTCAGTGTCGTTATATTTCGGAGCTAATAATTACGGCAGTAAACAGAATTTTCGCTCCGGCCTAATTTGTTTTTCTAATGAAATTACACAAGCAGCTGCTGCTAAAACGTTTTACGCCATTATGAATAATGAGATCCAAAATGTTTTAAGAATTCATTACAGTAACATAGAAGGACTCAGAAATCAATCAATGTAAATCTATCATGAGAGGATTCTTTTAATCGCGTTACATCCTTTCACGTGTTCTTTCAAAGGAACCCCGAAAAGTGTTATTCATGCAGGTGAGCGGACCTCGAAACAAATTCGAAAGGATTCATCGATTGAAAGGATAACTCTTTTGTGTGCCCTCGTTGCTAATGACGCGCCAGACTGATACTACTTTATTTTGACAAGTCCGCCACCCCATCGCCGGCAACCCCTTTCGTTACCCTCTCCAGGCCCCCTTTTAGACAGATAATTTCATACGGATCTCATTCGCGTACTCTGCGTGAAATTCGTGCTCCTCGATTCGGGTCCCGGTCATTTATATCCGAAAGAAAACGAGCGTCGGAAAGGGCAGGGACGGTTGAAGGGAGAATGGAAAGCAGGAAATAGCAGCCGAAGAAAAATGATCCCGGTTTAACGACGCGCCCTACAAATGTAACCGCTGTGTGACTGATGTCCGCAAATAATTCCTGTCCGCGGGATGGGAAATCGTTCTCATCGCGCAACACCTGTCGCCCCGAATTGATTATCCATAGAGAATCCTTCGTCCGAAAAAGTCTCGTTCGAAAATCATAATTCCTTTGAGAATTATAAACGGTCTTCTGTCGCAATTTAAATCGTATCGTGAAACATTGTCGTCGCGAAACGAACCTCTGAAAAGACCTGAAAGCGCTTGAAACGGCAGGACGTGGCAGTCGAGTTTCGCGAGTCCTTTGAATGTTCGCGAGACGCCTCATCGATGGCGGAAGGGATTCGTTAAAAAGTTTATCGACAGCCCACCCGTTTATTTTCTCACAATTTCTTTAAAGACAATCGTCGACCGTTAAGCACGTCGACGAGAAAAGAATGGAGGACAGGAGAATACTATTATAATAGCTGAAGCCGGTCCTTTCAACTCTCTCCTTCGTTTCTCGTCGTGGTCCTGCAGGGATTTCTCTGCTCCTTCTTGTTCTCTACGAGAGACGTAATTGGACAAGGAAATACGAGAAGCTGGGCTGTGGATCACCTTGCCAGGTGAAGGTCTATCCCGTTTCCTTCTTTCCGCCTCTCCGGTTACCAGTGGCTGTAAAAATGATTCACCGTCCAAGATCGCTCATCCCGTTCGTTAAATATTCAAAATATCATGTCGCAGGATTGATGTATCGGGAGCATTTCAGAAATCGTCGCCGACGATACAGTGCAAAACACCGTGCGGCGTCTGCGCTCGACCATTAATTGACAGAGGAACGAATGGCAGCGAAAAATTCTCCTAAAACTTATCTCGTTAATAATTCCATTACCGAGACACCGACGCGACGACATCAAGATTAAGTCGCATGGATCCGTGGGAAGAGCTTACAAATAGGGGACGAAATTAATCGAGTTCACCCCTTTTCAAACAGCCGAGAACTTTGCGTGAAATCTGCATTGTCCCTTATCGTTCATTAGCCTTTTACGTTCTTCTTAAACCCTCGGCATTTTATATTCAAGACAGAATCAAGTGAAAACAAGTAAGGAAAAACAGTAAAGATTAATTAATGTACAGTTTTAATGGTCGAACAAGTTCAGTGGTTTTAAATACGATGGAAGATCAGTGGACAATGGACGCGATATCGGGCGGTGAACGAAGGTAAAACGAGGGTGGACGTATTAAGGCAACGATTGGTTGCGACGTCTGACGTGTTCGAAGTACCGGAAGCATCCTTTCGCCAGACAATTCCACGGTGGCCGATTCACAATAGCCGACAACGTTCGATTAAGCCGGACCCTGGCCGAGCCGTCGTTGAAAATGAGGTCGAACATCGGTGATGTTCGCGTCTCCATTTCCGTTTCCAGACGGTAAATCAAAGCGCTTTTAAAATCTCCTCTCTTAACCGGCTTCCTTTATTCCTTCCCTTCAGTCGGTTTCCTCGCCGGCGAACGCATCGCGGGATCAAGGAGCGCATTAGTTGTATTTGACGTCGAGCGTCAGCTGCACGCGCGCTGCACGTGTAACCGCGTTGCAACGAGCCTGTTGCACGGGTCGCGGGCGGAGAGAGACGGAAGGAAGGAAGGAAGGAAGGAAGGAAGAGGAGAGAGAAAAGAGAGGAGCAGAGGCAAAGTGAGGAAACCGCGAAAGAACGGGCGGGGGTGAAGGCTTCTTACCGAACCAACTTCTACTTTCTCATTGATTTTATTTTCATTCCTGCCCGAAGAAAGGCATCCCGCGCTGCATCGCCGTGGTGCACGATGATTTATACGCGGAAGATCCACCTACGTAAGTTATGGCCCACCCTTGTCGCGATCGCCCAGCATCCTGATCCGATCGTAAATCTGGCTACTACTGTACTGCTCTCTCGACGCGCATACAATCTACGTATGCGCGCAGCCACGGGAGAGCGACTCTGTTATTGTTTTGATGGCGAAATAATCGCGGGGCTAGACGGCTGCTATAATTAAACGGGAATTCGGTATCGAGGGAGGTTGCGCCGAGCCACTTCGGAAAATATTTAGTCGGGCCACAGTAATATATGTACGCCCGCCTCCGACTCTATTTCCAGACAGCAATTTACTGAGCCTTTTACTACGAACACTCTACCTCGAATTAGATTACGTGATTGTTTTAGTCATTTCTACTGGTTAATCATTTTCGGGAAATTATACGATTTCTAATTGAAATGTAAGTCTCGTGATTAAGAACTTCATTGTAGAGACTTCACTGTAGAAACTGAATCGGTTTGTTGCAGTTGTCTTATCGTTATGCATTATTCATCAGACTTCTTAATTGGAAGCCTATTCATTGAAACATCGTATCTCAAAATCTTAAATACATTCTTACAGTATCTCGTTTTACAATACGTTCTTTATACAGTGGCTCACAAAAGCATTTAAATAAGTTATATGCATATATGTATAAACTTTCATGAAAATCGGTGAAAGCATAAGAAAGATGGATACATTAAAACATTTAATAGTTGTTCAATTTATTTCAATTTCAAGTCATGAAAACCTGTGATTTTCTTCATTTTTAATTCTTGTTAGGTCGTAGGTCGAATATTAGTCAATTTTTATGAAACAATCTTTACATTTCAAATTTTTATCAGAGAACCGAATAAAAAAAGTTAAACGTTAAGTTTATAATATACAGAAAATATTATGTTGTTCATAAAATTATTCCGTTTTGAAAGATGTTTTCTGAGCCACTTTATTCTAAAAGACTTTTGAACGCGAACGTTAGCTAATATCGCAGTGAATGGAGTAGAAAAGCGTTCGATCAATCGTTGGCGCGACGCAGAGCCGATCAAACGCGCGACGAGTGTAACGAGCAGGACGTTTCAAAAATTTAATTGGAAATTCAATTCCGATTATGACACTCGAAGTCCTTTGCACGCGCGTAACCGTGACAAGAATTTAATTGTTACGCAAAAATTGGAGCGCTGTTTAACGCGTTGTTTAGCGCGTTTTTAATTTGGATCGCCGAGTATCAATCGACACGCCGTACGCCTCTACAGAGACCAGCTTTGCAAAAGACAGAATTGTGTTCTCTGTAATCACGTCTCCTGGAGTGGATAGAACCAATCATTATCGGAGATTTGTTTTTCCCTCATATAAAAGAGACTCCAGGTACAATTACAATATAATTTTCACTATTCCGTTACCGTTGTATGAACCGTATCACATTATGCACATGATTTACATACATTTTAAATACGAATGCTGAAATACATTATTATCCTGCATTTGGAATATCAATATTTAATTTAGTACATTTCACATTATGCCTTACATGTATAAAGTATTAAATTGTTTAAGGATGTATTGGCTATATAGTCAATCCCAAAAGTTTATGTACCTTAGAAAAACGCATTTCCTATAATTAAAAATAGTGCATTCTTCTTCTAATTTCGATATTTAATGTGTACGAAGTTTATTACAAACTCTGATTCTAATAGTCTACTGACTGCTCTAGAATTTAACAAATCTACAAACCCTATTGTCAATATGATTATCTGTGAGTATAGTGAAATTCTTTAAAATAGATTTGACCCTGAAAATTCTATTTGTACGAGTCCCTTCCTATACAGGAATTCGAGGTAATGATGTAACTTGTGAAGTTGCTAAGGGGGCTACAAATTCGAATCATATTTCAAATATTCTTAGTCTCCACAAACAAAGTTTTCAGTCATACAATATTCGAATAAAAGAACTATGAAACTCTAATTTTATCTAGTTATGAGGAATATTTGTGAGACAAATCCTGTGTTAATACTTGACAGAAAATAATGTCATCTATTTTTTTTATAATACAAACAAATCTAATCTAATGTATCTGAAAATAAATAAGAATTTTCAACAAAATTCCTTTCTTTGATATGAGCTTACGTACATATATTAATTTTTATCTCAGTCTATTCAAGTCAAGAATACACGGATTTTAGAGTAGTTTTTATAATAAAATCCATAGTTTTGTTTATCACCTCGTTGCGATCTTTTTCTAATGGTCAGTCGTTTCTATCTCGGCGATTCGTTGAATAAAATCCTTTCAGACATTCGAGCAAGGTAACGCGGGTGCAAAAAACGTGTGGGTGGTGGCGCGAAGCGAGAACGAGCGACACGCGAAAGTGGGTAGTCGAGGTTTACCAGGCTGCGCCGATGAAGCTCTCTCTATCTGGACCCATGGAACTTTTACGCCGTCCTCTCTCGCGGCAAGCGCACCGGGTATTCCGTGGATTCCTGCCGGGATTATTCCAGACGAAACAAAGCTGTCGCCACGTTTGATATCGGCTTTTACACAGCCTGGCAAGCGTCCTGTCTCCGACGATTCCAACCCCCTCCTCTCACGACGAACCGTTCCTCGCGCATCCCGTATGAAATCTGATATTAAACATTCTTCGCGTGGCATTGGGGGGTTAAACTGTGAAAAGGGCTTTTTTGTCTCGCGCTGTAGACCACCGTCAGGTGCACCCTTTTCTCTTTCTCATTCCGGGTTCGGTAGCCGGGCAATCTAACGGGAATGAGTATGCATGCGATGCAAAGCAGCCGGGCTGCAGGTGCTGTTGACGAGAGCTAAGGTGGTCGAAGAACGAGATTTTCATTCTGTTCTGTTCTGTTCGCGAATTGGTAAATATGATTCCACCGTGGAAGTGATTTCCATGGAATTTATTGACCGACCTTGATTAAGGAATACCTAACAACTGGATGAAACAGGATCGTTTCTCCTATCAGCAATTCTGACGACTTCTTTCATGCAATTAAATTGTGTTCGATTTCTTCCAAGGTGTAATACAATCTTTCATAACAATTACTTAAAGTTGAGTCGTTAAATAAAAAGAAAGACAAACCGTTTAAATTTTAACAGTTATTAGGTATTACATTAATAAACTGTGCAGAATTTTAGAAATTTTGCACGGCTGTTAACCTTTAGTGCTCCGTTGGCTCCGCTACGCATTTGTTACCGTCGACATTGGAAATTATGTATTAATGTAAACAAAAAATCATGCAAGATCCTTAGTTTTCCGCTTGTCAATTGAGAAATGAATTTCACGCAAGGAGCTTCACGCGAGCGGAAAACGCGTGTGTCGCGTCTCCGGCAAGGAAAATTCGTTCGACATCCGTTGAGTTGGCTACAACAGTAGAAGTCCGTCGTGTCTTTCACGACGGGATGGGCTCGAATATTTTTATTCCAACCGTTTCGCTCTCGAGGGTAGTTTTCCCGGCTCGAGGGACCGCCAGGAATTATTAAAAATTCCGGTTCGGCGGCGCGCGCGCGAAAGATACACGCCGTTGAACGAGACGTTAATTAGACAACCGAATCGCTCACTGCGTTTCAATCAAGCAAATGGAGATTCTCGAACGATGGAAACTGTGCACGCTTTTTTTTCCATCGGAACAGCCGCATATAGGTTGATTACGCGCTCTACATGCACTCGAGTACCTTCTTCCCGTTTAATGATTCCGCGTTTACCCGCTCGTACGGCCGGTGTGTTCATGTTTTTCTGCCCCAAATCGTTCGCGGCTGGCGAGGGCGCGTAGTTAGCGCGCGCATTACGCATGGTGTGGCCCCATAAAAAAAAAAGACAAATTCCCGTTTGGCTCGAATCCGGGGAAAAAAAGAGGTATAAATAACGTTGGAACGGAACGGTGTTCGTTTTCCGATATTTTTTCCCAATGTCTTTGTTCCCGGTAACGGTTTGAGCTATCGCCACCGGTGAACGTCGTTTTAATTTCATACTTGTCAGGCCACGAATAATGCATTGCCCGCGATTGTTTAGACGTGGCCCATGGTAACTTCACGCCGGAGGAGGCAGCGACGACCGAGTCGCCGATTCAGAGCGACGTATTCGTGGAGAAGAACGGCGCTGCGGAGGGCGAACTTCCGGTCTCGACGGCCAAGCACGACGACCCGACGTACATGGCGGTCGTGATCGGCGTGCTAACCGCCGTGATCCTTCTCCTAGCCGTGGCGATATTCCTGATCATATCCAGACACAGGCAACGAAAGTGTTTCGCCAGTCCCATGACTGGCAAGGCCCCGTCGCATCTCGGGTCTACCTGCGCCACCGTGGAAAAAGGAGCTGCGTTGATGGCGTACACCTTGGAAGACGACGAAAGGTAATTTGCAACAGAAATAAATATAGATTAATTAAATTTTCGCATGCAATGACCGAGAGACGAATTTTTTTTATCTATGATTTAATTTCTTTTTATTTTAGCCTTTTCTAAACCTTTTAATTATTATTATAAAATTTTATACTTAATATTAAACAATTTATTCCATTTCGAAATGCATTCGAATATTAACTGGAGTCACCGTTAGCGAATAAATCTGTAAAGTTTTTCCTTTTCATGGATTATTCTTGTATCGACAAATGTGAAGGGAATCGACAAATAAAAACAGTTGATGCATTCAATACCAGAACGTTTTTTCAACGAGACAAAAGAATAAGATAAACAGTAGGATCTGTTTGTATGAATTAAGTGAAAAGGGGAAAACATTTTGTTACGTTACACTATTGTTTGTTTGGAATAACCTGCTCGCACAGGATATTTCGTGCAAATATTTGAAATAGAATGGATAAGGCTAGGATACAATAACTGGCGCCGCGACGACCAGTTACGATGAAAGGAAACGGTGTGGACACAGAGGATTTGCGGCTTTCGCTGTTATAGTAAATATTATTACTAATAATATTAGCTCCCGAGATAGGCCTACGGTTCCGCGTCGATTCATGTCTACCTTATGCAAACATCACGGTTTATCGATTTTAGGTAGCTTGCTTAGGTATCGACGGCACAGTGTTTGCGAACTGTCGGGATGAAACCCAAGGCAGATACCTGATAAAATTATTTTACAACGTTACACCTTATTATTATCATAATAAAATAGAAGAAAATATCCGTTATACTGCAATAGAATCTCTATTATACAAATTAATTGGGGGAATAAATATGTTCAACTAAGAGAATTTTCGTATAATAAAACGAGCTACAACAAGCTCAATGAAATGAAACTAACTGTAGTAAAACGTTTGTTTCTCAACATTAGGGTTAATGGAGTTACAATTCTATGAAATTTACCCATTCATATAATTTCCCAATTTCGTATTATGTTTATTTCATACTAAATTATTACATAGATTTTATCCTAGACAATCAAAAATACAAATGTAAGAACAACTAATATACATATTTACACATAGTAGTATAATAGGAAATATACTGTCCATGTAATGGAATGTTCAGATAATACAGATTCATATAATAGGGTGTTCCCATAATGGGTGTTCATATAACAGAGATTCTGCTGTATTATTAATACAAAGGAGTTTCAGTTCGCATCAGGCGAATTATAGGGTAAAATACGAGTCAGATCACTGATGGAAACATCCCTACGTAGAAGGCATACTTTTTTAACTTTGCAAGTATTCTCAGTACTCCATAAGGACGGAAGCCAGCTTCCAATAAACTTTCCATCCGTCGTGCTCGTTAGTGGATGTCCAATAACGCCCAATAATGTACGTCCTTCGGCGATATATCCAGTTTGTATGGCACGAATGTCTCCAGACGAGATCCTCGAGCTCGTCGTAACTCGGGCGTGACCTGCGCGTTTCAACATTGATCTTTCAACCTTGGTGCCGCTTTGTGCAAACTGATATTGCCGTTCCCAGAGGGAGAGAGAACGAGAACGAGAGCGAGGACGGTCCTAAAAGGGAACGTGTAGCGAGCGGCTTCGAGTACAGTGCGCGTACGAACGTTTTACCGTCCTTTGACGAATATCTGACGTGCACTTAAGTAGAACACCGAGTAAAAAGTATCCACTCGAAAAACGATGCACTTCCGTTGCTACAAAAGATGCTTTAAGGCACCTCTCTCGTTCCACGCTCTCTTCAACAGACCTCTCGTTGTTCTATAACAATTTCCACACAATTCTCAACTCGCTTTCTCCGACCATCTGACGGTCACGGTCATACCTAGTTTCAGTAAATTCTGTCGTGTTGGCATCTAGGTCTGACTTGTCACGCATTATACTACTGTGGCGGTTGGTCGCTGCCACATGTTCTTTTAGATCTTCTTTTATTGCTATCTTAAATTAATAAAGGGATATTGCTATCGACTGGGAAATATTTTCATATAAGGACGAAAAATGTATTCCCGTAAACCCATATTTTTTGCTACTTTTATGAGTAACATTGACAGTCTGCATTATCACGTAGCTATCGGAATGTATGCCCTTTCCGTTGTATTATCTCGCTTCGTGTCTTTTACAATTAGTTTTCATTCTGGTTTTTGCACTCTTGAATACTTGGCAACCGGACTCGCATGATCCACTCACCTGTCCTTTCAGTATGTTTAACTTTGTCTTCATTTTCTTGCCTACGATATTTCAGTCGTCCAGGCCGTTGCTTTTTGCCACTAAGGGCCTTGACGACCACTTTCATTCATTATTACTCTTTTCCACTGTCCTTGAACATTCGTTTTCCCTTCCTTTCGTTGATGCATTCTGTCGTTTCTATGTCGATTCTTTTTATTTTTCGCCTCCCTCATTCAGTCGATTTTTCAACCTCGCTGAGCTTCCTTTAGTTGCCGTTAATTCGTAGACCGAGCAAAGCTATTGAGTATAGCAGATTTATATCGGCGACTATTGATTGGATTAAAAACAAGTCACCAAACGGAATCGTTAGTTTATACCTTTACCCTACACTACTTATTGTTAGACTTACGCTTGAGGTCTGATCTGATATTGAATGTACTACTGACAGTCTTCGGATATCGCAATTTCTATCCATTTTGAAGAACAAATTATAACGCGTTAAGTATCCAGCCTTTCCTGTTTTCCTTTCTGTTTAGTTAATTATTTTATTAACCATTAAATTCTTTAATAATATTCAATACAATTTTTTTATGACAAAAGTAATATTTAGGCACATTCTTTTATGATCTTCAAATTATTAAAAATTTATTAATAAAAGAATATAATATTTTAAATTGTATATCGTCAGTCAACATTGACTGAAACGGCCTGAATGAAAAGTATAACGTGTTAAAAAGTACGAAAACAAAAAATGGTTTATATGGCTGCATTCTAGAAAGTCTCATCTATATGATTAAAAAATGAACTTCTTATACTCTCAGTTTTCATGCAATACCTCATTTTCCTTAAAATCATGCATTTTTGCAAAAACCGCTATTTTTCGGAAACGGTACGTAATACAAAATTTCTGTTCTGAAGTTCTACACGAATCACATAGTAGATATCGCAAAAAAAATTTATATTGCGCAGTGTAATCCAACTGTCTCTTATTTCTGAAGAGACAAGACATTCTGATATACTAAGGAAGGTGGTTGTTGCGTGTTTCTCCATTTTCAGTCATGGTCTCACGTGGCACGTTCCAGCCACACGAATCCCCGCGGTGACCAGACATAGTGAAACGTGTTTCCATTCCCTGTTCACTAGATACGCCGGTGGCTCGTTGCCCACACTGCCGCGGGACCTGGGGAACCGTTTTCTGGACATAGTGAAGCTCGACGACTACCAGGAACCCTACCAGGCCCTGAAGTACGCGCCGTACTACAGTTACAGCACTGTCGTTATGGAGATGAAAGACATGATGCTGAACAACAAGGGCAGCAACATCAATCACTCAGGTACGCTCCGTCCCAGCACTTCGTTCAGTACACTCCGTACGCACGCACGGTACACGTTCCGTCGTATATTTATACACTGGGACGCATTAAATCGGTGCTTGTTACGAGCGAACGCCGTTACACGTACGTACCAAATGTATGTAGCAAACAACAAAGCATTCGCCTGACCGCAATCAATACACTGTGCTCCCCCTTTGACTCTGCTGTTTCTACACCCGTTCCTCCTTTGCTATATCATCCGCAGCGGTGTACGCGAATGGTGCAGTTGACACGTCGTACGATTATGCGGTACCGGAACTCGGCACGGTGCCCCTGCTCAACCAGGACGGCACGGGACGCGGTGGACCTGCCGTTTCTACCAGCACCAGCGATCAGGACAGCATCTTCTCCAAGACATCTTCACGCGGCAATAAGACTGAGAACAAAAAGGTACGTCCCTTGATTTAATAGTCTTGTATCTAACAGCAAGATTCTATACCCAATCCACTTTGTCCTGAAGTAGATTTTACCTACAGTGGAGTCCATAAATATTCGACAAAAATTGATTGTACTATAAATATAGAAATAATAATTTTAAATATAAAAATCATTCAAATAATTATAATACATAAATATTAGAAAATTGAGTAGCTTTTATGATGTTGGAGCAAACGTTCCCCATTGTAAGGAATTTGAGATCGATTAACAATTTAATAGAACGTCAATCAGAAATCCGAAACTGATTAGTCGCGAGATAATCGCGAGCGTAACGGCGTTTGCAAACATTTGCACAACGCGGGCTGAAGCGAACCATTCTCTTTGATATGCAAACTCTAATTCGATTTCGCGACGCGAAGATATGCAAAATGGCAGGCGAGATGGCGGGGGATGGGGCGGGCAAAACGTATCGGCGAACGATAAAGCGTCGCCCGAGGACGAAGGAAATAATCGTAATGTTCGATCGAGTACAAAGGTGAACGAGTGCCTAGTAGTCGCGCAGAAATTCAACTACGTTATCGCAGAATCTATAAATAATGGACCGGCACCCCTGGCCGAATACGCGCGCTTGTATTTCTGCTGTAACCATTAAACGCGCGCTCCATTCGTCGAGGGAAAGTTCGCAATTAATAATTTAAATCAATATGGCGGAACGAGTGCAGACCATTTGGGGTAGATATACCTCCCGTGGGTACAGAATAACGCGGCTCGTATCCGGAATACCAGACCGACGCGACGTGGGGACGGTGGATGGAGAGTGGAAAGAGGGATAAAAAGAGCGGAGGAGCTCTACGCACCGTCGACGTCAAACGCGCGAGACGTTCCCTGGGGCTCCCTTTTGGCATAAAAAATCACCGAATCGCGACTAAAGATCGGATACACCGGTGGATCAATGGCGCGAACTCGCTACTCAATTGGCTAATAATTTCGCGACAATATTTCACGCAACGAATAACGAACAATTTCGATACATTGTTTGAGACATTAAATTAATTAGAGACTGAACTATGAATTATGAATGAATAATAAAATGTTCTATCTATCTAATAAAGTAATTTAGAGATTGATAAATGCAGAAATTGATCATCGACGAATAGTGTCCCTCTAAAACGAATCAATTGACTTCCTGATTGATTCGACATTTCTATGCACAGCGATTTTAAAATAGAGATAAATGTTAAAACGTAATAAAAAATGTTTTATCAAATAAGTATAATCATCGACTAACTTTGTTCATCTCTGGAAAATAAATTCATTTGAACTGAGCAATCTATAGTAAAGTGTAGTGATGCATACAGGGTGAACAACAAAAATAGCGCAACCCACAACGAATGCTAATGGGACCTCTTCGCGCAAACACGAAGATACTGACAATAGTCCAGGGGCTGTTTACACGCGGTAGGTGACGCGAAAGGGTCGCGGGAACAAATAAAAGTATCGCGCTTATTCAGCAACGTTTCCGCGCAATCTGCAAAATCATTCGATTGATCGGCTCGTCGACGTATAAACGAACTGCCGTCAACCCTTTCCGCGACTAGTAACCCTCGGAGGCAACCCTCGCGGAATGTATCATCATTACGCGGTCCGGTGGCTTCCGGGCCAATTCGCTCTGTTAATTGCGGAGAGAAAGCGCGTCGTGTAATCACGTTCGCAATCCAACTAGCCCTCTGCTCTTTCTCTCTCGGCCGCTCCCACATCCCCGATTTCCGTCGACTCGCGTGCCGACATCGCAGAAATATTACACGCGGGGTGGGTGGTTGATTCGGCGGCCCGGCCGCGTCCGATCTGTTGGAATAAAAATACGCCGCGACAAATTTGTAGCGCGCCCGGTGATTTATCTTACTGCGATGCGCACCACCGAGGACACGCCGTGAAAACCGATGAAACGACCAGTTCCCGTGGAATACCGATCTTTCCTATACATTTTATCGTGAGTCTCTGATTAACATCTTATCAGAGAAGAAATAGTCTGAATGCGAGCGCCAAAATATTTTTTCAGACATCTGACACAGATTCTAATATAAAAAATCAATTTTTCAAACTTTGAATTAATGATCAGTTTTCATAATGTTAATCCCACATTTTGCACTATTTTTGACTGGTTATCGATTAAACAGAGCAAAAAAACGTGAAAATTTTACCGTGTTAGAAAAGTCACGTGACTATCCTAGCGCCTTAAGTAGAGTCATGATGGAAATGAGTCAATGAAACTACCACCAGAATACTTAGTATGTATGTACATACACCGAAATGTCACAAATGGTACACCTGCCCTACATTGAAACTGATCATGACTTATTGTACGATTTATTACACGGCTGCAACTGAAACGTTTGCTAATTTGGTATTGATTGTGAACGACGAGCACTTGAGGCCCGTTTTTAAAATGATCTCGCACGCCAGATCCTGGAGGCTTGATCTCTTTCCGGTGGAAAGGCGCGCACGCGTCCCGGGATGAAGCGATTCGGTGCGCGATTGCTGGATTCAGCGCGAGCCGATTGATTCGAGCACAATGCTCCGAAAGTGGACGTCTACGTCGGGACGTCTGCGCGTGATTGACAGCCGACAGCGGCACTCGAAACAGTCAAAACATTTCGGGGCGGCACGTCGAGCCTGGCCTTGACGCATCGTAGCGACGCCAATCATTGTCCCCACGTGATCCGTCATTAGATCTGAAACGATCGTCCTCGGGAAACATCCTAGGGACCATCGGTGGCTGCAGTTTTGCATTGGACCGTGTCGAAAGTTGTGCCTTCAACCGTGTCACGTTCGACTGGTCCTTTCGTCGCGACCCCCGAACCGCAATTTTTTATTTTTTCCCCATTTTTTTCCCCTCTCTGTCCGCTTCGTTTTGCGTTGGTAACAATGAACGTTTTAGTGTAAATCGGTGGGAGGGAGGGGGAGTATCGGATATCGATTCGACCGTGACGAACGAGTACGGCTCCATGGGGCAGGAGACCCGTGGAATTATTCAAAATAGGTTTTCGACGACAGGAAGCTTTTGATTGGTGTCCAGCGAGCAGAATCAATGACGAACGGGAAATTTCGAAATTTATAGCGGTAATTTTGCCACTTAAATTATTGTAAGTCCGCCGAGTCCGTGTAATACATCACCCGGGGAATTTACCGCGGCACGGGGATCAACGAATAATTCACCGATCGATCGGCCAGAGCGAAAGCCCTTGATACCGGGTCTCTCCTCGTGTTGCCGCGGTTGGCGTGATCATAGATCGTTGATTATCGGGTCGGTACCACCGTGGCAACGATCCATTGTTCTTTCCTTGTTTCAGTCGCCGACACAACAGGAGGTACTTTCGGCCCTGAAGAGACGTCTGGAGCAGACGAGCGTACCGCTCTTCCCACGACATCGCCTCCGCATGCTCTCGAAACTCGCCGAAGGGGCCTTCGGAACGGTAACGACATTGTTATTACGTTCGGGCACGCATCTATTTTAAATTAGACACGCGAGCAGGATCGACGATTCGTCACGTTCACTTTGGTAACGAATTAACCCACCCTCAACTTTCCTTTATTATCCTCTCTGGCTGCCCTGTTTATACCCTTTATATGAATTATTAAAGTACCTCAATATCTCCTACAAGATTCTGTTTTCAATTTTTACATATTTTCATCTGAATTGATCAAAATCATTTTACTTGGATCAGTATTCTACCTCCAACGTTGCATAATGTCCTTGGTAGTGTACGTAGATTCACTACAGAATTACAGAATTAGCAGCCTCGCTTTTCGCAGTGCACTACTTCCGCATCATCGAGCGACTGTTGTCACGTTAAACCGTTCCCTCCACGATTCCCGCAGCATTATCATAATACACTCGCTGTTTGCGAAGTGTCGCTTTACCCCGTTAATGCAGAGAGCAATGGAAACACCTACTGAAACAGCGGAGAGGGTTAAATTACAAACGACCGATATATCGCGAAACGAGTCGGACCGGTGCGCAACCGGGGAACGACAAACGACGATGCCGTGCCGTGGCATCGTCGCGGAGTCGATTCCGTATCGATTCTAGAAACGCGACCTGATTCTCTCCTTCGTGGTCAAACGACGGGAACCGATAGAGCGAGAGACTACCGAGAGAGAAATCAATCCGTTTGTTGACCGTGCGCGGACAATCCGCCACCGGCTGAACGCAACAATACGTCGATTAACGAAGTGTCCGCCCTGTTATTCTTCCTGTTACAATAGCGCCTCGTCTGGCTCGTCGAGGATAATCAGTTTAGAATGCGTTAGAGCGGCTAATAATTCCCTTTTGTTTCCTGCTCGACTGCCGCCGGCACGCCGGTAATGACCGGCCAGGAGACACCGATTTTCGTCCACGTCAGCTTGCATCTTCATAGTAGTTGCACGATCATTCCGGTGTTTGGATTCTTTATCTTAAATGCAGGTTTAAAATCAATCGATAAATAGCAGCGCTACTTACACATGTAATAAAGCCTAACAGCTATGTCCATAAATAATAATTTGTTTATTTTAATTATATCCTGCATTTCTGTACAATTAATTACACATATATGAATTCAATAGTTTATTAATCTTGTTAGGAGCTAAAGTGCAAACAGTTTCCATTATTTTGTTTATCTCGCACTTTTAGTATATTATAATTTTAAAACTACGCCTACAATCACATTTTCATTGCCATTATCAATATTTTCTAAAATATATATTACTTTTCAATGTCTATCAGATTATTTACGGAAACAATTAAGCGTACAGTTTACTCGTTTCAATTCGGCCGAACAAATCCGGTCGGCGAACAGCTTTAAGTATCGTTCGATTGGAGTTAGAAAAACCGACGACGCGGAGAATTGTATTTCGTGTATTTGTAAAGGCGAATAACATTCACTTTGAACAATGCGGTTCGTTCAATGCGCGACGTGAAAGCAAGATGAACAATGCGGATTAAGATTTGATTGAACTGTTGGATCGGATGGTAATTTACATTGTTCGGCCCGCTTTCAATATTGGGGCATAGTTTGTTCGTGAACAATATTGATTTCAAAACAACTATTTCGCGCCGGAAAATTTCGCGATAAATCCAGCGGCGAATAATCCAATTCTGGGATCATCCATTCTCATTTGGACGAATTTATGATTGTAACAAGAGACCCGTTAGTCAACTTTTATCCAGTAATTAACGCGCCGTTCCATCCGTGCACGAAACTTTTCTCCTCCCCCTAGACCGAAGCGATCCACCGTATAAACGTAAACAAATTATGTCCATAAAGGTGTACGTGGCGGAAGCGGAAGGGATCCCGGAGTATGGAACGACGACCACCGTCGGCAAGCGTCTCGTCGCCGTCAAATTTTTACTGCCGGAAGCCAGCGAGAAGGAAAAGTGAGTAGCTTGCTTATACGACGCGACGCGCGCGCTTCGTTCGCGCAATTTGCATTCCGTCTCGCGTTTTACAAAGCGCTCGATCGAGCCACCGTTTCGCAGCTCCGTTGTTCCTCCATTCACCGACGAACGGGCCGGGCGATAAACGTTTTACAGCAGTGGAGGAACGCTCGGTTAAGCGGCGACGCGATTTCACGCGAGATTCGTTTTCCTCATCTGGCGAACTTCGTCCGACTTCCGCGAACCGATGGAATCGGGCGTTGATTAATTTTTTGATAACGATTTCGTTAGATGAAGAATTTTTTCCATTAACCTTCTACCAACATCTTCACGCATTTATATTTATTGATTTAAATAAATAAAAAATATGACCCATATTCGATAAGGAGCATAAAATTTGAGAAATTTGCATTTCGGACGTTCGATGCTGCTATTTTCATGAACAATTGTTTATCATCTGTCTCTTATAATTATTATATGAACAATTACTATTTTTATAATATGAACAGTTATTATTTTTATTATATCGCTATCGCATTATTTCGTGAAGAGAAAATACGCACGTAGATATAATATTGTAGATAGAAAATCCGATTGCGAGCCAAAAAGATCGCGATTAAACCGGAAAACATAAATGATAACTCTCGGAGGAACGATTCGGCAGATATCGAGGGACACAACAATGGTCAGCGAGCAGAACGCAACGGGACCGAGTCTATTTCGCTAGCTAACGTGGATCGCGATACAAACAGATTCCGAATGCATCGACCGATCGAAACGACTATCCTGTACATAAAATTCATAGCTTCCCGACTGTGTGCGTCCCAGTTCCTTTTCCTCCGAATTTCTCCGGGTCGCGTCGTGGCCGTGCAGTTTTCTAGAGGATACCCCGCAGCGGTGAAACGTCCAGATATACCGAAGACGATCGTTCTCGCGACTATCAAGCTAGACATCAGAAAAAGGCCTGTTCGATTCCACGAATGGAATAGATTTGCATACAATGACCGGGTAGATAGGGTATCGAGAGTTTCGTGCATCGCGTTGTGGCGAAAGAGAGGTATCAAGGGGGTGGCGGTGTTGGCCAGGGAACGACGATGACAAAGCGTTCGTTCCGAAACGAAAATCGAGGTTCATCGGATATCCCAGCTACTCCTCAGCTTTTGTCAGCGAAACTACTCCCCTGTCGAAGTTTCGGCGCGAATGAATTATCTGATGCTCGCCAGAAAGGAGAGAGACTCTTAAATCCAGGCTCCTCTTAACTAATTTTCAAGATATCGCCCTGGCTAAAGCGATGAGGAGAGGAACCATACTGGTTCCTGTAGATAGCTCGATACCGCGAATACAGATTCTTTACTTTGAACTTTCACCTGTGGGACCTGCTAAAAGTGTTCGATTAGCGAATATAGTACAACTAATATGAACGCCCATTATGTGAACATTTTATTATAAAAATCTTAATTATCTGAACATACTATTATGTGAACATGTATTTTTATTATATGAACAGTATATTTTTTATTATAATAACGTATTAGATGGACTAGTTTTTTACATTTTTTATGGAGGATAATTAAATGATGTACAAATTATTTCAATATTCTGAATAATAAATCGTGTAAAGTTAGATTTAGATTGTCAAAATGTAGTTTAAATTAATCGGAGCTTCGCGAGAACGTAGTTAAATTGTGTTGTTGGCAACGCGTAATCATTGATTATGTTAATTAGAGTTTGGTGAAAGTGGCCCTCAATCTATCTCCCAGGACCACTTTCACCAAGTTCCGATTAATTTGATGAACGATTACACGTAGGCAATTGTAGGGAAGATACGGTATTTCTAAATATATGTATTTCTAAACGTTGCGAACTAATCTGGAAATTATTGAACTATTAGTTATATATAATGTAGTAGTATATATTATTAACTGTAATTTACTTTAATTTACTTATTTTAAATACTTTACTTTATTATACTTCGTTTAACTTTGTTAAGAAGAATAAATATTTATCTTATGATCTTGTACTTTATCTAAGAAGTTATCTGTGAACAAATTTTCCCCGTTTTATTTCACTTTACTTTAGACATACGTATAATTCTAATGCTAATCGCTTGTTCTTCTATTATACGAAAATTCTCTTATATGAACACATTTGTATTCCAATTAGTTCATATAATGAAGGTTCTACTGTACTCTGGTTAGAGACGAGGAAAGCTGGAAGCTACTTTGTATGCTAAGTTCCTTCATTTGTCCATATTTTAACATAATTCTTGTTCTAAAACATTCTTTTAACTTCATTTATTACCTAGATCATGTAAATTTTTTCCTAGATTATTTGAAAAACAAGTTAAAATATATTTGAAGTTAAATACACGACAAAGGCCATTTAAAAAAAAAATATTTTAATGGAAACAGAAAATGTTAGTCGAATCTACAACGTAAAGGGAATCAATTTAATTAAAACTACCGACGCGACGTTCATTGACGATCAACACGACAACAAACGGGGCAAATTAAACAGGAAAATGGTTCCTGTATGTACACTCGAGCACCGCACCGGTGCGACTCGATAGATTTCCAAATTCTCCCCAGTAACATTATTAGAGGTAACGTATTCACGTTTCATCACGTAAAACGATCGCTCCTCTTAATGCATTTCCGCCATTCCGCTTTTATCTCGATTTACGAATAAATATATCTAGTATTTTCGAGTATGTATCTATGGATCAAACACAAATAAAATACAGAGTTCATCTGACAAGTAAAGAAGCAAAAAGATTCTGAACCGCGGTTTCCACGACTCCTCACGCAACAAGTCTCTAGTGCCTCGAGGATGACTTATCGCGCCCCTATCGTGACTGGAACTCGCTCCATTTCCTTTCCCACATCTCGTCCACGCGATCTCCAAAAGTACAAAGAAATCCCCTTTCTGCCTTTTTCCTCGCCACCGCTCGACGCTTAACGATCAATTTTTCGTGGAAAATAACACCCCGAGCTAACACTGTTTATTTCGTGTAATAAAACAACGGTAAATCAAGACATATAAAGCTTCAGAATTCAACACTGAAAATTCTACTACACATGCAATAAAATATACAAAATAATTCGCAGTCATATTGTTTCATAAATGAAATCAAAATTCTGTCATTCGACATGAGAATTCAAAGTATAATAACTTTTTTAATGGGCTCACAAAATTTCTAAAATTTTGTATAGTGCTTTATTAACGTAATATCTAGTAACTGTTCAAATTTCAATGCTTTTTCATTGTTTTTATGTAAGGGTTCATACAATCTTAATATCGTATTATTCTATTAATCAAGAACTGTTTGCCAGGGGTATTAACGAAACTGGCCCGCATTCGCGAGTCTACATTCATAGAAGATTCTGCTCGCGGCAGATAAGGAATGTTTTATGCGTTCATGGCCGATATCGCGGGCCACTGGTATTGACTTTTCTTGCGCTTTTGTCCGAAATAACGCTAAATAACGAGCCGGCTAGCGCTCCCCCGTGTTCTCGTTAAAAACGGCATTGCGTGGGTCCTTCGATCCTGGATACGATTTAACCGCGCACGCATTCCCGAGGCCGTTCCACGGTTTCATATTTTATTCATTATCGAACTGGCTTTTTCCTGCCGTTAATAACCGCGGCTATTATTCCTGGGATATTCTCTCTGACCACCCGATGCTTTTAACTATCAACAGAGATTGTTATACAAAAATAACATTTAATACTTCTATTTAATGACTTGAAAAAAATAAATTGTAATTTTTTAGAAACTGAAATAGAAGATGTGAAATTTTTCGACAAACGATGAATTCCTGGAAATGTCTTGAGATTTATGAACAGGAGTGTACTTTATTCGAATGTTCCGCCTTCGTCCTATGAATATTCATCGAAAATAATTAATTACACGTCTCACGGTTATCTCCGTGATTCGCATAAAATAATTCCCGTTTCCCCGGATCGCTCAATCACGCGCGTTCGATAAGGCGGATACGCGACGGACGCAATTAACGCGAGTCCAACGAGGCAGACGGGAATAACGTATTATTTCGTATCGAATTTAGCCAGGGTCGCCCACGCGGCTCCGAGGTGTCGGCACGCGTCGGTACGCAGCAGAATTCGCAGTTTATGGAGAATCGATACGAGGCACGTAGTTTTGTTAACGGTCCGCATTAAGCTATCACGCGAGAGTGCCATTACCAAGTCGATCGTAAGTAAGGCCGAAGTAACGATGCTGCGAGGAAACGCGGCTTGTTACCGTACGTGTGTACCTACGCTCCTGGAAAGCGAACTTTCCTTTTACACGCCACGGCCGCGTCTCGTCCGTCCCGGGCTAACTCGTTCTCGCCTCGCATTACCGGCATGCAAACGAAACACCGAAACTTTGCTCGAAAATCTTACGGTTATTCTGTGCCAATGGACACTGCCGAGTCCGGGCAATGGGTCCATTCCCCTTAACAATCCTCCGTTTCCTTGGGTCGATGCAAAATTAAACGCGTACAGTTTCTTTTACGTTTATCGCGCCCTGTTCATTTGCCCGGGACAAAAACTTGGGCGAATTTCCAGCAATTGCATGCAAGAAACTTGATCGCGTTGCCGCATAGTTGCACTATTTTACCAGACGTAATTGGAGCGGAGGGAGATCGTACGAAGATAATAGTTACAGAGTTTATAAGGTCTTCGGTATTGTTAAGGTTGGATTTCCAACGAGACGTCAGGATCCTGGCAGCCCTGGAGGATCGCAATATCGCCAGAGTGCTCGGGGCTTGCTGCCGCGAGGAGCCGTACTGCGTCGTGATGGAGTACCTGGAACACGGAGACCTATGCCAATTCCTGAAGACGCATATCACTGCCGAGGACGCCCATTCCATGCCGATCGGCGTCAAAACGCTCAGGTAACTATCTATTTAACGCGTCAAAAACGTTAATAAATTCGCCACTGTCTTCTTCAATTTCAAGTTGAAGTACTGATGAAAGTAAGATAAATGTCCCAATTTCTACTCACTGGCGTATTTTCCATAATAAATAGATAAATCCAACGAAAAGGGTTTGAATTTTAAACAATTTCATTTCAAAGAGTGATTTTTGTGAATAAAATAAGGATCAGATATACCGTAAACTAAACATTAACACAAATTTTGAAACGATCGAATCGCATAAATTGCTTAGTTTGCACTATTTCTAGAAACAGAAATGGCATGAAAGTGGAGAACAAAATGGCATGTACATACTTTGAGGATGTATAGGCTAACAATGCTGTCATGTTGAATTTGTTATTATAGATTCCTATTACTATTAAAAAGCTAAAATTATAGTGATTTCAAATTTTTCATAGGTAATAGTATCACCTACAACTTTTATTCGAAGCATTTGTCGAAAT